TTCTGTTCGTCTTTCCATCTGTCTGTCTGTCTGTCTCTCTGTCTTTATCTCTGTCCATCTTTATCTCTGTCTGCCTGTCTTTATCTCTGTCTGTACGTCTGTCCATCTGTCTTTATCTCTGTTCATCTGTCCGTCTGTCTTTGTGTCTTTATCTCTGTCTGTCTGTCTGTCTGTCTGTACATCTGTCTTTATCTCTGTCCGTCTGTCCATCTGTCTGTCTGTCTGTCTTTATGTCTGTCCGTCTTTATCTCTGTCTGTCTGTCGGTCCATCTGTCTGCCTGTCTGTCTTTATCTCTGTCTGTTGCGATTAATTGTGATTAATCGTTTGACAGCACTAAAGACGACAACTTATAGACCAGGTTAAAATAGATGAAAACAAGGCTGTGACAGATAGATTTACAGTCTTTACAATGGCAAGATCATGTCAATTTTCAACTTTCAAAACTGTTGTGTGTATTTTAGATAGTACAATCCATTGAATCCAAACATTAAATATGGTGCTAAGGTCACTAAAAACCTTAATGAACGCACTGCACATTTTGTGAAGCCCAAAGTAAACTATTTGGCCTGAACTCTAGCATACTAGCCTTTATCAGTATAATCAGTGTAACAGTGACCGCGCACACAGGCGCTCGACACATGTGCACTTGTTCAGTGTCTACACCTTTTCTCTCCAAAAGTTGAATGATAAAATAACTTCATACTTGTTTAAACTAGAGTTGCAGGTTATTATTTAATCCCTTTACAAAACCCTTGTGTTCTGTCTCCTCTGGTTCTTCTCCAACTGAAACTGTGGTCTTTGTTACTTGGTTAGTTTTCAAAGTACAAATTACAGTTGATACATTTGATGAACAAGTAAGCTGTTTGTAATTTGTTACAACCTCACAGGATGTAAAGGACCCGCCATCAACAGAGACCTCAAACCCGGGAGAATGCCCAAGAGCTCCTCAGGTACTGTCTGTCTGTCTGTATGTCTGTCCATCTGTCTGTCTGTCTTTATCTCTGTCCGTCTGTCCATCTGTCTGTGTCTTTATCTCTGTTTGTCTGTCTGTCTTTATCTCTGTCTGTCTGTACGTCTGTCCATCTGTCTGTCTGTCTGTCTCTCTGTCTTTATCTCTGTCCATCTTTATCTCTGTCTGTCTGTCTGTCTGTCTGTCTGTCTGTCTGTCTGTCTGTCTGTCTGTCTGTCTGTCTGTCTGTCTGTCTGTCTGTCTGTCTGTCTGTCTGTCTGTCTGTCTGTCTGTCTGTCTGTCTGTCTGTCTGTCTGTCTGTCTGTCTGTCTGTCTGTCTGTCTGTCTGTCTGTCTGTCTGTCTGTCTGTCTGTCTGTCTGTCTGTCTGTCTGTCTGTCTGTCTGTCTGTCTGTCTGTCTGTCTGTCTGTCTGTCTGTCTGTCTGTCTTTATCTCTGTCCGTCTGTCCATCCATCTGTCTGCCTGTCTGTCTTTATCTCTGTCTGTCTGTCTGTCCGTCTGTCCATCTGTCTGTCTGTCTTTATCTCTGTCTGTCTGTCTTTATCTCTGTTTGTCTGTCTGTCTGTCTGTCTGTCTGTACGTCTGTCCATCTGTCTGTCTGTCTCTCTGTCTTTATCTCTGTCCATCTTTATCTCTGTCTGTCTGTACGTCTGTCCTTATCTCTGTTCATCTGCCCGTCTGTCTTTGTGTCTTTATCTCTGTCTGTCTATACATCTGTCTTTATCTCTGTCTGTCTGTCCATCTGTCTTTATCTCTGTCCGTACGTCTGCCCATCTGTCTGTCTTTATCTCTGTCTGTCTGTCCATCTGTCTGTCTGTCTGTCTTTATCTCTGTCTGTCTGTCCATCTGTCTGTCTGTCTGTCTTTATCTCTGTCCAACCGTCCGTCTATCTATCTGCCTCTCCGTCCGTCCATCTGTCTTTATCTCTCTGTCTGTCCGTCCGTCTTTATCTCTGTCTGTCTGTCCATCTGTCTGTCTTTATCTCTGTCCGTCTTTATCTCTGTCTGTCTGTCTGTACGTCTGTCCATCTGTCTGTCTTTATCTGTGTCTGTCCATCTGTCTTTATCTCTGTCTGTCTGTCTGTCTGT